AGAGGCCAGCGGGTTTGTTGCAACCCTTGCCTACTACCGAGTGAAAGTGGGAGCATGTCACGATGGACTTCGTTGTAGGTCTTCTGAGGACTCAGCGGGGTAGTGATGCTATTTGAGTGGTTGTAGACCGGTTGACTAAGTCGGCGCACTTTATCCCTATGCGCGTGAGAGATTCGGTAGATCATCTTGCCGACTTGTATGTTCGGGACATAGTGAGGTTGCACGGGGTCCCAGTGTTAATCGTCTCAGATAGAGATCTATGTTTTACTGCTAGGTTGTGGCAAAGTTTGCAGAGTGCCTTGGGCACTAGATTGACCTTTAGTACGGCTTATCATTCTCAGACTGACGGGCAGTCCGAGCATACTATTCAGATCCTTGAGGATATGCTTCGAGGCGGTGTCCTTGACTTTAGTGGGTCGTGGGAGAAGCACTTGCCCTTAGTGGAGTTTGCCTACAACAATAGTTTCCAATCGAGTATTGGTATGGCACCATTTGAGGCCTTGTATGGCCGACCGTGTAGGTCTCCAGTTTGTTAGACTGAGGTGGGTGATGTACCTTTGTTGGGCCCGGAGTTGATGCGGGAAACGACGGAGAAAGTTGAGCTTATCCGTAAGAGAGCTGTTACGGCCCAGAGTCATCAAAAGAGTTATGCCGACCGTAGGAGGAGGCCTTTCTCATTTGGGGTGGGTGATCATGTCTTTCTGAAAATATCACCTAGGCGGGGTTTGATAAGGTTTGATAAGAGTGGGAAGTTGTCCCCTCGATTTATTGGCCCTTTTGAGATCCTTGAGAGGATTGGCGAGGTTGCCTACCGTTTAGCTTTGTTGCCGCAGTTGTCCGGAGTCCATGACGTGTTTCATGTTAGTATGCTTTAGAAGTACGAGCCAAATCCGTCTCATGTATTGGATTGGACCGACTTAGAGGTTGATGAGGATATCTCGCATGAGGAGAGACTGGTGATGGTCTTGGATAGGCGGGATCAAGTCTTGCGAGGCAAAACAATACCCTTGGTAAAAGTTTTGTGAAAACATCACGGGGTTGAGGAAGCCACTTGGGAACGTGAGTTGGATGTCCGTGAGAAATATCCGGACTTGTTTGTTAATGTTTAACCATGTATTGGAAATCTTGTTTTGTTGATAAACTCCAAGAACATTGTATATGTTTGGTTTATGGAAATATTGTAATGGTTGAGTATGTCTTGAAAATGGAAGTTCAATTTAACATTGTATATGTTGAATGTGTTGTACAAATGCAAATATATCATTAATATTGAATATGTTATGGAATTCTGAAGTATGTACATTGGAAATTGTTGGATTTCGAAGAAACGCATGTTGATAATGCATGTTGTAGCATATATTGTAAATTGCCTCTTGAATAGAGATGGGATGACCGGTAATGGGTCAGGATGTTGAATCTTAAATTGTAATATTGTTGAGAATTGAAAAAAAAAAAATCACAATTTTGAAACTTATATCTAATTTCAGGGACGAAATTCTTTAAGGAGGGGAGGTTATAGCGACCCCGGTTTTCCCTCCATTGGTTGTTGTATTCCGGACTAAGTTCTGTGGATGTCTGTTATTGTACATGTTTCATTTCCGTCATTCAATTCTTTGTATTTGAGTTTTAGGATGTGTTGGGTAGGTTTGTAATAGGTTGGGTGTGTTTTGAAACAAATGGTTACAACCCAGATTTTGGTGTCTTCGCTCGAGCGAGGCTTTTTTCCCTCGAGCGAGCTCTGTGTTTTAGTTCCTTCGCTCGAGCGAGAGTTGAGTGGTGTGTCTGGTGGCTCGAGCGAGAAGTCTTGCGCTCAAGCTTGCGTTTGTGTCTCTTTTTGACCTGAAGGTTGTATTTTTTGGCTCGAGCGAGCTGTATGTTTTGGGTTTCTTCGCTCGAGCGAGCTTTTCTTCGCTCAAGCGTGTTTCTGGGTTGCAGACCTGAAGCTTTGTGTTGTTGGCTCGAGCGACCACTCCTTCGCTCGAGCGAGGTTTCTTTGTGTCTGGTCGCTCGAGCGACCACTCCTTCGCTCGAGCAAGGCTCGATTATATCAATTTGCAGCAGCGAGTTTTTACACACTTTTTCATCTTCTTCTCTACTCAAACCCTAACCCCGGCTGCTCCTCTCTCTACACTCTCTCTCTCTCTCTCTAGGATTTCATCTACTTCTAGAGTGTTTCCACCCAAATCTCTATGTAAGAAAGATAGAGGGTGGTGTGGGCTTCACTTTAATCTGAAAAACCGTGGATTTGGAGCACTTTGAGTTTTCTTCATCAACTCGTTTCGGCTTCTAATTTCGAGGTAGGGATACCCTACTCCATCTCATGAGTTTTGACATAAATTTTGGTCATTTTGGTTAGATGGTGTGGTTTGGTGATTTTGAAAAAAGTTAGGGTTTGATGTGTAATTTATAAAAGAGGGGTTTTGTGTTTTAAAAACCCCATGTGTATGTGAGGCCTTGGAAAATGGAATTATTGTTGTTAAATTGATGAAATTGAACCTTTAGGGTTGATATTTGAAAAAGGGGAAAGAATGCCCTAATTACATTGAATAATTAATTTAAGAAAGAGTGGAATTGAGTTGAAAATCATGAAATTGGGAAATTGTGGGATTGAAAGGTGTAGTTGGATTAGTTAATCACTCACCTATGAAAATGTTGGTATTTTATCTGTTTGATAAATTTATTATCTATTTAGATATAACTGCTTAGGCTATCGGTGGAGGATAGTCTTGATTGTTGTAGACACTGTATGTTGATTAGGGAAAACTGAAACTAATCACCTGAAATATGTCATTGAATATGACGGTTAGAATAATACATCGAATATGTGTATTGATTGATCATTGTATATGATAAGTGCTTAAATACATTGTATATGTATATTGTTTGGCTTGAAAAGTGTATTTTAGTTAGTACTCTCTTTTTGTAACCAAGTGTTGGCTTGAAAAGTTGTAAGCCCGTAGGGCATTTACTTTTGCTGTCAACATGTAATACTTTTGTAATGAATACTCTGATGAATAGAAATATGTTTTATTCTCTTATGTCCATGCATGTCAAGAATGTGGGATTATATGTATTATTTTGAGGGCGTTACAATTTTTCTTTCAAAAATTACCAAACAAAAATCTGAAAATATATCTAAATGCAATACCTCTTATAATGATATATTTTCTCAAATATAACCCTAACATAGCTTTAATGTAAAAATATGGAGACAATCCCTACCTCAAATAATGAAGAAGAACAGATCTGGAAGGCAAATCTTGCCCGATCATGAATCCGAGACTACAATTGCGAAGTTCATGACGAGCTCTCCGACTTTCATTTACAACACTTTTGCAAAATCTCACTCTAAAGACTCCCACTCGAAGCTCAAAGCTTGAGTAACTATGGAATTTACAACACTTTTGCAAAATCTCACTCTAAAGACTCCCACTCGAAGCTCAAAGCTTGAGTAACTATGGAAAATAAAGAAAGAGAGAGAGAGAGAGAGAGAGAGAGAGAGAGAGAGAGACGTTTGAAAGAAAGAGAGAGATGAGCTCTCTACTCATCAAAAGCCAAGAGGAAAATGATGAAGGAAAACAAGAAAAGGAGGGGAAATGATGGCAAGACAAAAATGGGGGCCACCCACTTGGGTGTGTCTCCCAAAGCTGATTTTTTCTCAAAAAATATAATTTTTGCAATAATACCTCAAAATTTTATAATATAAATTATAAAATGATCTAATTTTTCTCACCACAAAATATAATATTTTGATCACTACGAAATATACACATTTTTATTCTTTATAAAAATATATAATTTTTTGCCATATCGTACACACCATAAAATGACCTATCAAATATTTATTATAATCCTATATAATAAATAATAACAACTCCTAAGGTGGTTACTACCAATCACCTAATTAAAAAGGACCAAACACCCAAAACTCACATTCAAATTCTACTATACACTAGACCAAACAACGATCAGTCCGCGAATTTTCATAAAATAAATTATCATCAATAAATTATGAAATGTTTACCCAACGTGCTAGACTTGTATGTGAACAACATATAAAAATCTCATAATTTTCTGAGATCAGAAACTATTTTAAAAAAATACAAAACTGAACTACTTTCGCACAGAATTTACACAAAGTCAAATCCGAAAATTTGTTCAATTAAATTATGCACTGCCTATTTTTTTTAAAAAAAAAATTCTAGGTCATTACATGAAATATCTTTCTTTCTTTACTTTTAAAATGATATACTATGGAGTAATCTAAAGGAAAATGAAACATAATGAATATCCAAATTTTAAAATTATAGTTTGCAAGAAAATTGACCAATACAGACCTGCGAAAAAGAAAATGCAAGAGAGATAGCTGTCCCTCACTAAAGAAGACCTGGGAGGTTCTTGAGATTGCTGGAAGATTCTAGAACTCCCTAGAGCCTTGTAGAGTATTGTACATAAGGCTTGAAGCTTGTACATAACACTTGTATATTCTAGAATAATCTATTAGATGTAGTAGGAGGAAGTGTCTAGAACACTCTCCATACTTGTAGTTTTAGAATGTTCATTGTAGCCTATAAAAGGGGGAGGGACTCATTTGCCCAAACCACCAAGAATTGTAAAGCTTTCTCTTAAGAGTGAATACAAGGCATTCTCTCAAACTCTCTTGTATTCTTCTAAACTTCTCTTTCCTACAAGTGTGTGAGTTAGGTTGACTTATCATCATCAAGTGAGACTTCAGATTGTCTAAGTGCCGCACGGATAGCTTGGAAACAACCAAGTCCGTGACAGTTAATGTTACATATCATGAAAAAAATATCATGAAAATGATCATGAATGATTCTCTACCGTTAGATTATACATACAAGAAAACACCACACACTAATCAAGGGATGAAAAATCTTCATGAAACATTTCATGATATTTTTTTCATGATCCCTAATTTTATTCATTAAAGAATGTCAAAGATGACAAGCAAAACTGGAAGAGTGGGTTTGGGAGCTTACCTGCAATGGGACCTTCAAATCTTTTCCCTTTGCTTCCATTTTCTAGATCTACAACAAAATCAGTCCATTTTACTTGAAGAAAAATCATAATCTCATAGAGGATGTATAGTATGAAAAAAAAAAAAACACACACACACACACACAGTATTTTTTCTTTGGGAAAAGAATGGAAAACATTGTGCTCAAGAATCTCATGGAGGATGTATAGTACGAAAACACACACACACATATAATGTAGAGAGAAAATGACATACTTGAAACTAAGGTTTTTGTTTGTGCCATAGTCATGGTACAATGGAGTAAGGTTTTACTGTGCTTGTCGTTTATATATATTTCTCTCTCACGTTGCAATGCAACTGATTTGATAGCTCAGTTTTTAAATCTTTTGAAAATATATCTTTAAGGAAAATTTTTTTTGATTTGTGCTTTTACATGACCTTTTGTATAGGTGTTTGTAGGCCATGCTTTGATTTTGGGAGTTATTTTGTGATTTGTTGATAAATCTTGCAAATTATTATTATTTCTATTTTTTGTGATTAAGGTTTTTTTTTTTTTAATAACATTTCTTTCTCTTACAAAAAATAAAAAGAAAAAAAAATGATGAGAAGATTCAAATCAAATGTTGGTAGCATTTGTTAAGGTAGAACCCATTATGAATAATAATGCTACATTTTTATTTGAGTCTAAAAAATTATTGAGTAGTTTTAGAGTATTATATGATATTAAACATCTATTATTATTATTATTATTATATAAATAGAATGCTTATTTTGTATAAACTCTATTATATTTTGTTTTTTGCCCTTTATAAAATTGTTACATTTAATAACTATCACATAATTTTTTTAAATGATTTTTTTCATCCATTTTTTTAATGAATTTTCTCATCATTAAAGTGTCAAAAATTGCTAAACGATTTTCTTAATTTATCATAACTATAATAATAGTAAGTCTGACGCCTCTTCAGTTTGCAATCGGATTAGAGGGTACTACTGTTGGGTCGTGGTGGGCCTAAATTAGGCCCCATCTTGATAATTCAAATCGTTCAATATGTAGAGCTCGGTGAGTTATTTCTATAAAAAAAAATCAACTTTATTGGATATTGATAACCATCATTTCTATCAATAATTTATTTTGAAAATCATACTTGTCATTGACTGATATATACTGATATCCGATTAATGTAATTTTTTTTTTATAAGAATAATGTAATAAATGAATTGTACACATTGAATGATTTGAATTATTAAGATGAACTCAAATTTGAACTCTCCACACCCAATAATACCGTCCAATCTAATTACAGACCGAAAAGGAGCAAGAGGCATAATAATAATAATAATAATAATAATAATAATAATAATAATAATAATAATAATGAGAGGAACTTACTGATAAGTTCTATACACAAAGTTCAAAATCTATTTAGTCCAAAAACAAAACACTTGCACCAATTAGTCATATATGTTTTAATTGTTACCAAAAAATTCTTTTTTGAAAAAAAAAGGTTTAAAGACGCTGTTATATCACACTACCGCTGAACTTCTGTCAGACGGTCATCAGAGACTCGCAGAAATGTTCAACATCACCGGAAAGTTGCCAAAATATCACCGGAAATTCGTCAGAATATCGTTGGAATATTTTGAACGTCACCAGAAGTCGTCAGAATGTCTAGAATGTTCGTTGGACGTCAAGAAGCCGGAGACTCAGCAGAATATCTAGAATATTGCCGAAAAGAAGAAGAATAAATTGATGAATTAAAGTGAAAAAAAATATAGAAAAATGTGCTAAATATGATAAATTGAAAGAAGAATAAGAAAAAAAAATCTATGAACAACAAACAGTAACAATGGAAACAAATATATGTTATTTTTAATTTTTGTAGCGTTTAAGCAAATAATTTCTAATTTTGATCAAACTGAAAAGCAAGCTTTGAAATTGTAATATTTTACAGTTTCAAAGTATGATTCCATTAAGTATTTATCCTTATTAATCAAACTGCAAAACATGTTATGAAACTATTAAATTTTACAGTTCTAAAAAATGATTCATTTCACCACCAAAAAAAAAAAACAAAACTAAAACTGTAAAATTTTACAGTTTTCACTGCCTGTAATTAAAACTCAAAAGCAATTTGTTTAGAACTTGAAAATCTTCTTCATTATAACAGGAAAATAGAAGTGTGTAGTAGAGAAAAAGTATTAAAACTGAGAGATCAAAGGAAAGAGACAAATATAGAGAATGCTTGTACTCTAACAACTATTTTTTAGTTTAGATCTAGCCAGATTTAACGTAGATCGACACAGATATGATTTAACGTAGATTTAGCCAGATTTATCGTGTGTAGATTTATATCAGATTTGAGTAGATCTACGCATCTTCGTCGTTGGAATCTTATCTCTTTCACCGTCGATGAGCACGAAGTAAGGAGTCGGTGCTCGATGGTTGGTCGTGAGCCCCAATCAATGGTGGTCGTTGGTCGCCAGTGGTTGTAGATTAGAAAGAGAAAGAAAAGATGGAAGGTGTGTAACGCCCTCAAAATAATAACAATAAACCCATCAGATAAGACATGCATTTACATATAAACTAACCACATTCTTTCATTCATTAGAGTTCCATGACAAATCAGATTTGAGTAGATCTACGCATCTTCGTCGTTGGAATCTTATCTCTTTCACCGTCGATGAGCACGAAGTAAGGAGTCGGTGCTCGATGGTTGGTCGTGAGCCCCAATCAATGGTGGTCGTTGGTCGCCAGTGGTTGTAGATTAGAAAGAGAAAGAAAAGATGGAAGGCGTGGGCGTGGGCGTGGTCGTGGTCGTGGTCGTCATCGTCGCCGATATCAGAGAAAGATATATAAATAGAAGAAGTAAGGTCTAAGAAAAGATAAGAAGATAAATAGGTATAGAAATTTTGAATTTATCTAAAAAAAATTGAGATTAAATAAAATGTACATTTTTTAAAAAGGACTTGTGGATAATTTACCCTAATAATAATCAATGTGTTTGGTTTCAGTTTTCTGAGTTCAATTTTTTAAAAATTAAATTTTTTATTTTTTATTTTTCATTTTTTTTCTGTTTTTTATGAATGTTTTTTAAAATTTAAGCAATTTTTTAACCAATTGGTCTCTCATCTCAACGTGTGCTTCTCACGTTCTCACAATCGTGTGTGGGCCTTCAGTACCTTCGGTTCGACTCCACAACTGCCATCATTTTTACTGCTCCACTTTCTTTCTGCTAAATACCAAAGAACAACAGAATCGCATAAGTCAAGGATTATCCTTTGCACACAATCAATAAAAATCATATCGCAATGACAATTTAAAATGGAGAAATATCACATCATTGGTATTTTTAAAATTATTATAAATATTAATAATAATTAAAATTTTAAATTTTTTCATGATTTTGTATGTTTTTTTAAGTACCATTGTTTTGTATTTTTCCCATTTAAAATTTGGAGGAAGATTCCCTCTTATTTATAAAGCATTGTTTGAGTTTATGAGACTCATTATGATCTTATTTTGATGATTTGAATTATTTATTTTGTCCAGTACTTCGTATATTTTATCCGCACAAAATAATTAGGTTGATTCGATAATTATAATTTATTCAATTTATCATGTTTGCCACAAAAAAAAGACGTTAATTGTGTTTTTAAAAATAAACCATTACTTTTTTTTGGTGTCAAACGCAATAAAATTGAACATGTTACGATTATTAGATCTACCTAATTTTTGTATGCGGCTGAAATACACAAGTGTAAATAAAATGAACAGTTTAGATCATCAAAACAAAATTCGTGATGGATTCAACGGGCCAAAATAGCACCATCTAGTGGATCAGAGAGAAGCTGTCTATTTTTATAAAAAAATTATTTGCATAGCACTGTTCTAGCCAAATATCGTATATCAAATGTGAGAATAACTAAATAAGCTAAATTATCAATAATTCTTACTTTTGAGACTTTTGTCCATTAAATTTTATTGATAGATTTATCAAGGGATAAATTTATTAGTTTCTCTTATTTTTATAAATAAATTTACAATTATAAATTTATCAGTGAAAGTATAAATAAATATAAAAAAGATGGATTGATAAGCACTCTTAGATAATATCGTTTTTTTTTATAAATAAAATAAATAATACCCCACCCATCGCCATGGGGCCAATTTCCGTACAACTCAACAATCCTTAATTGCCAAGTACTAGTACATTGTACACTACAAAACAAGAATATACAAATGCACGTACAAAAATGTTTGGACACTCCTAAAAACAAAATTCAGACTTCTATTCTATCGACAATCCACAATGATATGTAAAGGTAAATATTAACTTTTTAATTTGTTATATATTTAATAATTAATGGTCCAATATCTATATCAAATCATTATAAATGAATTTGTAAAAAATAGTGGCTAGCATTACTCATGGATATATGTGATTGCAGACACCAACTTTATAATATACAACTACATAAAAAATAAAAATAAAAAATAGAAATATCATTTCTTCCCTTTCACGAATGGACAAAAAGAGAATTTTTTTTATTTTTATTTTTATTTTTTTTTTGACATATTCATGCATGCATGCTTTGGTGTTTATTATAAGTGTTAGATTTTTATAATTTACAATTTCGTTTGATAAAAAAAAAATTTAGTTGTAATTTTATTCGCACTTTTGTTTTAGTGAGACTGTGAGTATTTAGATGGAAATCTAATCTGAATTGTACCTACGTATAAGAGTTTGTGCTAACATTTCGTATCTTGAGTATTTCTTATTTGCCACTTTGTTGACTATGTACGAGAATTGAATGAAGAAGTCAAAGTTGTTTGAGCTATGTTCTGAACGTCTGAGAGACAAGTTTTACCACTCGAGCGGTAGATGTTGCGCTCGAGCAGTTGACCTATATGTTTGCACTGCCTTTACTCGCACTGCTCGAGCGATAAAGTGTGACTCGAGCGGTCTTCACAACTCTGTTTATCGTCGTGGATTCGACATCGACACAGTGGATTCAACGTTGGATAAAGCAATTCCG